ATTTCATAAGCATTTTAAACTTTAACTCACAATTTATAATATAACTAGCTGCCAATAATTCAACGTTAAATTCAATTTCTAATATAGCACTAATATAAGATGACCCTAACACTAAATTTTTTTTTTTTAAATCTCAAGGTAGCAATTACCTGGGAACGACTGTTTTATTGAGATCTTTATTTGGTGTGACAATTCCTAGATATTTTACAACCATAATTTCACCCGCGACGGTTTTAATTTCGGACGGTAATATCATGGCAACCGGAATTTCACCGGTAGTGTCTTTATTCGTGATTCCAAATTTCACCTGACGTGATTGATCTTCAATCGTGATCCTACGGTTTTTTGTCACTTGTTCGGCTCGAACCGGTGATCTTACGATTGGCGACCCGGAGCACAATCACTACGCCATTGACCCACTGGTCATCCTAACCCTAAAGTTAATTTTATAAAATATGTATGTAAGTATCTGCTCCGCCTTAGACGTCTCCAAAATAAATAAATCTGATATGAGTTAGAGTTACTTGTTTGATGCAATTAGAGTTAGGAGTTTATATAGTTATCAAGAATGCAATTTATGCGACATGGAGATCAACATATGAATATACATACTGCACGTACGTACGTACGTACGTACGTACTGTACCTTGCTTTAACGGACCCCATTTACAGTAAACATGAATGGACCAAAATTTTAAAGGGCTAATTAAAACAGATGATGATTATGAATTAATAAAATATACGTAAATAGCAGTTAAGATCCAGCTTAATCATCTGCTTGTGCCATAAATTGTTACTCGCTCAATCGAAAAGATTAGAATAAAAAAATTTTTTTATCAGTCATTTATCAAAAGGGTTCTATATTTAGATATTTAGTTTTCATTATCGATATTAAACTATAAAAAATTGGACTATGAGGAGATAAGATTAGATAGTGTTTAAAATAGTAAGCTGTTGATCGATTGTAAATATAGATGCCAATTACGCCATTGAAAATATGATAAAATAGGCAGCATGTTTACTATTTAAAATACGGCAAAAGTATTTGATTTTTTCAGAAGCTATAAATAGAAATAAATTCCATGTTTGGTAATTAGATATAAATTTCTTTTTTTGGTGAATATGTATAAAATTCTTTGTTTAGTGAATAGAAATAAAATTCTTTTTTTGGCATTTAATTTGGACTACGTAAAATGATTAATCTCAGCAAATGAAAATTTATGCAATCAAAATTTATAAAATGGTCCAACCTCATAACCAAATAAATAAAATTTGCTCAAATAAAATCAAATCAAATGAAAATTA